GTCTGAAGGCAGGTCCAGAGAAGAATAATCTTACAACCAAGTGAAAATGGCATGCTCCCCATACATATTAGGCTGTTTCCCATACTGATTTAAATGCAGGCATACTTAAGTATCTGCAAACAGTCTTCACCAGCTCTTTTCAAGATTAGCAAAGTGCTTTTTACTCACTGAGGGCTAGGTATGCACCACATTAGAATGTTTAAATCCAAACTGGGGTATTAGAGTGCAAAAAAGCATCTGAACAAGCGTCTTAAAACATTAAAAAAAGAAAAAAGCCCATTTTCTTCCTCCTGGTTTAAAAAAAAATCACCCTCAGACTGCCATCCAACATGATAGAGTTTGGCTCCCAAGTAATTTGTTGTTGGAAAATGATAATAAACCACTGGAAGTGGGGGCTTACAATGAAGCTCCCTGCTGTAATGCTTGCAGTGACCTTCAAGTTTATCACATCATCATTCTGGATGCTAGGGTGTGCTAACCTGCTGTAGTTGATGTAGTGAGTAGAACTTCCTGGAGAATCATGCAGAAAGAATAGAATTCCTCTCTTACTGCTCTATCTTTGCAAAAGTGTTAGCAAAAATTCATTACACTGAAGTAAAGAAATTAGAGTGTCTAGATCGAGCCATTGAGAATAGTAGTGCTGCCCAATAATTAACCTAACCAAGAACACATTAATAAATTAACTTGTCCTGGTGTGGTGTCTAGAGGTCCTGTTGTGCTGCATGCAATCTCAGTAGATGAGACCGAGGATGGGAGGGGAAACAAAAGGCACACAGAAATGAAGTGACTTAGCTAAGGTCAAACGGCAAGCCAGTGACAGAACTCATGGAATTCAGGTCTCTGGACTTCCAGTCCATTTCCCTATCCACTAGACATGCTGCCTTCCATATGTAGGAGCAAATGACTGAGGCGTGGCTCCCTGATGAATATTATGGCTCATCAGCTGTACCAAAGCGTGGAGAGTCCAGAGAATTATAGCGCTACAGTAAGGACCAAGTTGTGTGTTCATCTTGGAGACAGAGTTTTGTGGTTTCTGTAGGGGTCGCACCCATGTACTTGAAGATGCAACTTAACCCTGATGTGTTGAGGCACCACATAAAAGCTACCTGAGCATTTGGAAATGTCAGCAAGGGCACAGTGGATAACTTCGATTGATGTGTGGGAATCTAATATCAAAAGAAACAGCAGGTGTAGGGTGGGGACCGTATCCACAACAGAAAGGGCAGTTAGTGACTCTTGACAAGGAAATCTTATTGCCCTGACCAGATGCGAAAGCCAGATATAAGAGGGTGAGGTGCTTCCCACGGCTGCATTAAAGCAACCTCCTTTTTTGAGTCACTTTAATTCTGTGGTCAGCTTGATAATAGAAACACATCATAGTAAGCCTGTAGACTTAATACCTTAATATGCTGCCAGCAGAACTAGACAATCTCTTTAATCCTTTTGATCACATGTGCACAGTGCAGATTTTGGTAACGTGAAACTAAGTTGTGTATGTGCAGGCAAGCATCTGCATTACTTAGCTGCAGTTCCCCATTCTGCAAGGGAGAGAGAAATGTTTAATGTTCCTTTCCCCCTTCCGCTCCCCCTCCCTGAAGGGAGGTGGCTAAGTAAGAGATTTTCCTGTTCAATGTACTTGAAGGAAGTGGTTGGCATTTGTTTACATTGTTGTGAGTTCTGAGATAAACTTCTAGACTCTCCTCCCAGAGTGCCTGGCAGGAAGAAATTGACACATATTCTCAATGCACTATGTTGAGACATTTCCTACTTGTTGGGATAATTTAGCTTTCCCATGAGAACCATTCAATGCAAATGGTTATGCCTGATAAATTTCACAAGATGCATGTACGGCATGTTAGCATGCTGCAACTTAAGAGGCTAGGAAGAATGAAAATGGCTGTTTTAGTTCTCCTGCTGGCCTAGGTATTACCCAGCAGTCAGTAGGGTTTTTCTTCCACACCTGTGTCAGTCCAGATAAAGGTTTCTTCAAGAGCACAGGGTGATGAAAGTAGGGGTGCTGCGGGTGTGGCAGCATCCCCTGGCTCAAAGGGGTTTCCATCATATACAGGGTTTACAATTTTCTTCCTAAGGATCTGATTAGGTTTAGAAACTTCTAATAGATCAGAGTTGTGTATTGATTTAAAGTATTATAGGTGGCGTGCGTGTTGATGCCTATCATTGAAGGTTGCCTTCACGTTTCCATTCTGAAGAGCCTTTTGCAGTTGCTTACCACTTTCTCAAACTTTTTCCTGTTGGGGCTGAAATTTTTGAAGATGGATTTTCTGTCCAGTGGTGATCTTGTGTGTGATTTTGAGCAAAAATGGGTCAGCTGGTTTTGACTGTGAAGAGAGTAGACTGTGGCTACTGATGGTGAGGGGCAGATGGTGCTTCTTTTTTTTTTTTTTTTTTTTTTTTAAAAGAGCACCAAGTTCTTCTAGGAACTTTTTGTGACTTTTTTTTTAAATTTTATTTTATTTATTTTTTTTAACAGCTCTAGCACCTTAGCAATTTGGGGTAGAAATTTGAGATTGTTTGCGTTTCAGTGGTGAAAACCCATTCTATTTTACTGCGTTGTAATGGTTTGTTTAAAAACAGACACTGTCCGTGCAGACTGAATTCTCTCCCTGCCTCTGACAATAACTGTTGATCTCCCGCCATTGCATTTGTACTGAACCTTTGTGTAGACAAGCAGTTTGAGTGGGTTCCTCAATGTCTGAAGGTGTGCATTGCCTGAGTTCCAGGTGTTGGTCATCAAGAATTTCACATGGTGCCATGTGTTCTGGGATGTTCCAGCCCATATGGGTCTGGGAATCGGCTGAAGTGGCTTAAGTTAGTTATGCAGATGGAGCTAGGTATTCCCATTTCTATAGCAGAATCGCCAGTTTTTAATGCATTCACAGCTTACCAGTCACATCAGTCCTGCTCATGAATGAGATTGAAACCTCATCCACAGCAGAAGGGATCACATGAGACCCATGTTGTGTGTGGCTGTGAAGTGCAGATGGATTTATTCATGTTACAGCTTGGTTGCAAACTTGATAAAACCTTCTAGTGCTGAGAGTCCTAAAGTTTTGTCCACACTAAGGCCTTGGATACACTCGCGGATTCACAGCGCTGCCTCGGCAGCGCTGTGAAGCGCGAGTGTAGTTGCGCTGCCAGCGCTGCGAGAGTTCTCTTGCAGCGCTGCAAGTACTCCACCCCTCCGAGGGGAGTAGCTTGCAGCGCTGCAGGGAGCGTGCAGCGCAGCAGGCGCTGATTACACTGGCGCTTTACAGCGCTGCCTCGCTGCGCTCAAGGTGTGAAAAAACATCCCCCCCCGAGCGCAGCAAGTGCAGCGCTGTGAATTGCCAGTGTAGCCAAGGCCTAACGCTGAAGCTGTGTTAGGCCATGTCTACACAGGGACACTTGGGAAGATAAAAGGGCAAGTTAACTAGAGGTGTGAAGTTAACATGAATTAGTTAAAGTGCATTAACCCATTGTGTGGACGTTCTCAGTTCAGAAGTAAAGTGGTCTTAGTTCACTGTAGTTTAATTTTCCTTGAAGAATTTCTCTTTCCCCAACAGAGATCCCAGCTGAACTACGTAGGCTGCTGGGGTGAAGATTCTGGCCAGAATGCACACAAGTTGGATTTTCAAAGTTTGGGTTCCCACAGCAATTGACCTCTGCCCACTTTTGCATAATCAGTATTTTTTTTTCTTGCTGTATATGTGGGTGAACTGCCAAGATTTAAATGAATAAATATATGCAAGGCAACTGAGATAGATGATTGGCTATGGGAAACAATAACTATGAATTTCTGAGCTTAAGGGAAAAGAACTGATCGAACTTTCAGATAAATACACTTGTTCTCACATGTGAATAGGATCACCTCTTCAGATAAACATACTTCAGTCAATGGTCAAACAAGTGTGTTTATCTGAAGCTCTGCAACGGCACATTGTAAAATGAGTGGATAAACCAAAGTTGTTCAAACATATCAAAGGCACTTGTCTTTATCAGGGACTGAATCCATGGCGGGTGTGTCTGAAGTTTTTAAAAATAAGATGGTTGAGTTATCAGAGTACACAAGAAATGTCTGAATAATTTCCTAAAGTGTAAAGAATCTCTTTATTCTAGGCTGGTGTTGGAGGGGCAGGGAACTTGGAAAATAAAGAATCAAGAACTTTTTATCCAACTCAAATAATAGACAAGTAGAATTTTATCCCATTGCTTAAAAAAAAAAAAAAAAAAAAAA